GGTGAGAGGCCACAGCCAACTGAAAAAAGAAGCCACTCAGAGGCCAGTGAGTCATCACAAGGGACTGGCACACAGCCCACCCCTTGGGAAGTGTTTGGAGTGCAGGGGGTGGGGGAGATGGGCCCACGGGGGGAACACTGGAGCACAGTATGGACAGCTGATCTGCCCCCAATCAGCACAGGACCACTGAGTGGAGACTGGTGAGGAATATAGAACTACGGGGGGTGCAGTTTGCTGAAAAGACGCAGGCCAAGACCAGAGTTTCCACACAATCCAGGTGTACCAGACCTCACAAGACCTGGAAGAGCTTACAAGGTCAACAATTAAAACCTGAGCTGCACAAAAAGCCTTCCCCCAAGAATCAGCAGCAAAGCAGCAATTTAGCTCAACCACAGAGTTCAAGTGCTGGTTCCAACAGGAAGCTCCCCCATTTTAGAAGTAACCAAAGTACAACAAATTAGTTTCAGAATCTAAGTGGTGGGAATAGAGAATAATCCTACACAGAACTGAAAGAAAACACAAAACACCTACAGATCAGAGACAAAGTTCTGATATTAACCAGTAAAGGCCTAACACCACCAAAGAACACCTATAAAACCTAGAAGGACCAGAAGCCCCCCAGGCTCCCAAGGTGGGGTGGGGGGAGGGCTGAGGGCCTCAGCCACCCCCCAACTTCTGCATCCAGCCCAGCAATGACCACCAGGCCACCACCAGAAGTCCCTTGTGCTCTCCTGCTGGAATGAGAGGGGTGCCAACAGCCTTGACCACACCCTACCCTCCCTCCTTCCTACTCCTCCCATCCTATATCCTACTCCTCCCTCCTCATATCCTTCCCCTTTCCCTTCTCCCTCTCCCCCACAACTGCTCCACAACAACATCTCAGAACGTAAAAAAAAGATAAATAATTTTTTTTTTTTAATTAAGCCAGGGACCACCCCCCCTCCCCCAACCAGGCAAACAGCCAGTGCCTCGGGGCCCATCCAGAGTCCTGAGGCATAGAGCTGGGCACTGGACTCCCCTCACAATCAGGCACATCACCAGCACCAAGGAGCATGCCAAAAACATCACCTCCATGTGGGTGGCCCACCATAGCCACCACAGTAACCACAGCAGCCGTGAAAGTGTCTAGATGTCACAACCACCATGCAGATAGCCCACCAGCCACTGGGGTGCATTGACACAAGGAGAGTCACCAGCAGAGACCAAAGAAAAGAAGAGGATGTCTTTCTCTACAAAGCCCATTCCAGAGTGACAGAAGAAGCAGCTTCTGTATGATAATATTGGGGGACCTGAATACACCTCTCAGCATTGGACAGATCTAGGAAACAAATCAGCAGAGTAACCCTTTCAGAGGGAGAGAAGAAATCTAGGGTTATCGGTGGTGGGAGGGGGAAGGGAGAGGGGGATAAGGAAAGATTGGAAAAGGGGCATAAAGAATAAGTACAATTTGTAACAATATACATACTAGTAATATTGATTTGATCAACATATGTCAACACTGAACGCCAAAAATATGTATAATCAATTATTCAATTAAAAAAAAAATTAAATACTGAAATACTTGGAGAAAAACACCCCCGTGTCTGTCTATTCACCACCCAACATGAACAAACAGTAGCATCCTAAAAAAAAAAAAAAAAAAAAAACCCACATATTTTACAACAAAGATCAGAACTCAAGGTATTATTTATAATGGGAAATAATATAACAAGAAAACACTTGAAATCAATATGGAGTTCCATTCACAACTTCTGATTAGAAGAGAATAAAATATACTTTCTAAGTAACATGTTATATTTTAATATCACACAAAGAATTCTGAAAATGAAATATACCACTACAATTTGATGCACAGCTTCATATCATTTATTTCTATAATTCAGAGATGAAAATCCAAGCATGCTCAAGATATGGGCATGGAAATCACACTGAATGCTAATTCCAGTGCAAATGAAACAAGTTCAAACTATCTGACGGGTGGGTAATTCAAACCCCGTTGCCTATTGGGACACCTTTAAGTAGAGCAGAAATAAAAGCTGTCAATTAAAGGGGAACATGAATGAATGTTAGAAGAGAAGTATGTATTTGCTAGCAATTCTCATCCTCCCTCAAAGATAAGGGTGTCAGAGGATAAGAACTGGCAAGAAAGAAGAAATATTTAGCACCTCTCCTTCACACCCTGGAAAGATGTATCTGCAAGGGTTCATTTCTTTGATACATAAGATTAGAAAAAGAAGAACTACTGCATGCCAAGTTGATATGAGGAAGCAATAAGGTTTCAAACAAAAAATAATCAAAACATTACAACCACCTTTTTAAAACAAGAACAAATCATTGGCTTGAGTTCTTTTTCTATGAGTTGAGTTCTTTTCAGTAAAAATTGTCACCAAATCCTCACAACTTTTACTGGAAAAGTTTCCCTACCTCCTCAGACTTCATTATCACATACCTATGATTCTATGACAATTTTCGAATTCTTACTTTGGTTATCCTTCCCTCTAATTCGTACTGCACACTGCCAAGCTTCCCCCCGCCCGCCCCCAAAGAATCTTTTGCATCCCTGCCTTACTCAAAACCGTCCAAAAGGTTCCTCAATTCCTGTTCCTATAGACAAAAGTTAGGACATATCCATTTCACAAAATGACAGTCTGAGTATATGAGTATATCCCAACCTTTATTGACTTAGACCCTCTACTCTAGGGTCTCCTCTTTGTTTTTCAGAACACACCATGTTAACATACGTTTTCAGTCCCGCATTTCAGTTCCACTATGTCCACCCATCCAGACTTAGACCCTCTACTCTAGGGTCTCCTCTTTGTTTTTCAGGACACACCATGTTAACATACGTTTTCAGTCCCGCATTTCAGTTCCACTATGTCCACCCATCCAAATCCCATAAGGCAAACATTTATTGTGCATTACTGAGCTCCAAACACAAATGCATCATCTCAAGTCCCACCGTTTTTTCAAGCTCTTTCCTTCAATCTACAAGGGAGATCTCCTCCTTATTGACTCTCCTCCGTTTAACATGCAGTTGGAGAGAGAAATGCCCATTTACTCCACCCTTTTTAAGTAATACTGACAGAGCTTTGAGATAAGTCAAATGAGTGCCACAGACTAAGGCTTGGGTTGAAGAATGAGAAATCATGCGTTCATCTGCCACATATCTGTCGAGTAATTATGTTGGAGTGAGTAGGACTGAAGCCATGTTGGGACCTAAAACCACCTGGGCTGCAGGAAATGTTAAAAGACACACCTTTTTTTTCTTAACATGTACTTCTACGAGTTCCCTCTTTTCCCATGTTTATTTAATATTTTGAACCTTGGTTACTGGGCAAAATAACATTATTTACATGAATGTAAAGTTGTTTTCCAGTCAGCCTAGAGCTGCAGACTTGCAATGAGATACATTTCTATCCATACCCTGAAAAACCAAGGAGACATCAGTAAAGCTATGCTGATGCCACTCCTCCAGCAGGACCCTAAGATAACACCAAGCACGGGAACAGAAACCAGACGTGCACCGGGCTCCTTGCACGCATCCACAACTCACATCCCCCTCCTTCCTGCTTTTCATTTCCCTCATTACATTCCTTCAACACCCTCTTTAAAAACCCTCAGTAAATCTGAGTCTTGGAGATGGCTTTAGGCTGGCCATTCTCCTTCGGGTTTACTGGAGAGATACTGTTAGCCTAATATCTCTCCTCAGGTCATTGATATTCCTGAATTAAGGCTGACTTCCATTTTCACCAACATTTGACTTTTGAGTTATTTACTTTTCTTCAGGGCAGGCAGTCGGACTTGGGTTCAGCAACAAGATTTTGACAAACATAGAGCTGAATGCCCTAGGGTAACAGATTTTGGCAAGCCAAGTCAAGTTTTCTTGTTTGGGGCAGGCAGCTGGACTTGGGCCCAGTAACAGATTACCATGTACCAAACACTACTCTGGGTGTGATAGGCAAAGATCCTGTTCTCATAGAATGTGATTGTGTATGTGTGTTGGGGAAGAGGAGGTAACTCACGCCGAACACACGCACAGACAATCACTTTACGCTGTGACAAGTGCTTTGAAGAATGTAACATAGGTTTGACATGCTAGCAAATGATAAGGGAGCTAGTTTGATAGCTAGACAGGAATGACCTCTTAGATTTAATTGACAAGAACTCAGCCATGTGATAAAAGCTAAATAATGCATGAACAAACCAAAAGTTCCTATATTTTATGTGCGGTTCAAAAACTTTCACAATCTTTTTTTGTTTTTGTTTTTGTTTTTGCTGGCTGGCCGGTACAGGGATCCCACGATTTCATTTTGAATATGCCTAAGTCTCATGAAACTCCTCTAAGAGACAACACTTCCCCCATATAAAAAAATAAAGCACAAAGAGTTGCCCACTAAGGGCTAACCAACATTGCTGTCTTTACATAAAACGTTTACTGACGGTCAGTTTCAGGAGACCCATCGCACTCTAAAAGAACACTCCAGTCTGATGGTCTCTCCTTCCGTGAGTTCAGAGATCTCTCAGCTCTTCTGAGAGCTCCACTAAGGTCCATCAATCTAAAAGATCACTTTGAGGTTACGCAGGGACCAGTTCCACTTTCTGGCAGAGAAAATTTTACAGAGAGCAGATAGTCAACTACCTTATACAGACTAATGACTAAAATCAGTTTCACCAAATGATGCATGGTATTCAGTCTGGGGTAAAATGCACCGCTCAAACGAGGGAATACCAAGACACGGCCTCAGGAAAGCCAGGTAGTAGTGAAAGGAAATCTATTCCAGGCATATTCGTTCTAGGAATTGGCTGAAAAACACTTTGCGTCCATAAATTAATTTCCTCACCTGCAAACGGGAATAACAATGACTCTCACTTCTCAAAATATGTGACATTCTAACGAGTTGGCCTTTAAAAAACTTTAAAAGGCACAAGGGAGCGGGACGGTCTCAAGTTACTTAAACTACTTTTAGGAGGGGCGCAAGTGGGAGCCTCGCGAGCATTACCTTGACCAGCCACACTCCCGTGTTCTGTTTGGCGCCGGTCAGGTCGAGGTCCCCGCGCTCAGCCATGGGTCTGTCGCCGGTGGAGGCGTGCGGGCCGGAGCAGCGGCCCTAGGAGCTGGGATCTGCGGAGCGAGCGTCCGGAACAAAGGCCCAGCCGCGGTGGAAGGTAAACTGTCAGGAGCCGGCGTCGCTCACCCGCCAGGAAACCGGGAACCCGGCGGAAAAAGGAACACGCCGCTGGGAGCCGGGAACTGCGCCTGCGCACCGCCACCGTCAGTACGGCGCGCTGTTGTGGACAAACTTCCTGTTTCAGCAGCTTCTTGAGTGGGCGTGGCTAATGTAGCTCAGCGATTTAAAACTTAGAATGGGATGAGCCAAAGAGTTAGCAATGAATATAAAGACTAGGTCAACCTAACTGAAGAAAGAGTGTCAAAACAGGAAAATAGGGTTTAAAAAGACAAAGCTGTCAGTATGTGTCCAACAGCATTTGGAGGACAGGGTCGGTGTAATACCTTGGCGTTCCTGGCCAGACGTCTTTAGCACAAGTGGGCAGTGGGATCGGATTGAATAGCCCTGGGTACATTGAAAACATGCTGTTTCTAGACCTGAGAAGAAAGGGAAGTCTCAACTCAGAGGCCGCCTTGAGCTCTTCTGATTAAGCAAGCAGAGCACATCCCTTTCAGACTCGGAAATAAGAACGCCAAATGATTAGGTCAGTGACCATACGAATATGTAAGAGCAAACCTGATTGTTGAACTCCTCAGCTCAGTTTCTCTTCCTGCCTCTAGAATAAAATTCAACTTCTCTGCTTCGACTGGGCTCTCTCAATTTGATCCATTTGCACCTCCTGCCACTCACTCCACCACACATCCAACCACGCCAAATCCATAATACTTCCCTGAACACTTTGGGATCTTCCTCAATCATTTCAGAGCCTCTGCACACTCGATTCCCTTCTTCATATGCCCTGTTTTTACCTCACCCTCACTCTCACCCCAACCTTCGTGTTGGCAAACTCCTACTTATGTCTCAAATGTCACTTCCTATGTGACCTTTTATCAACTCCCCCAGAGGAAGTTCGTTTTTCTTCACATCGCAGTGTGGTATTTAGCATACTGCACTATATATAATATACGTCTTTACATGTCTGCCTTTACTTTCTAGGCTATGAGCTCCTCCTCAGCAGAAATGGTCCCCCCCCCCGCCCCCCAGCTTTACTGAGATATAATTGACACATAAGAAATAGTGCTTTATTCATTTCATATTCACAATGTCTAGAATTGTGTTTGACACATTGTCAAATTTCAGTAGGCTTTGGTTGAATGAACATTCACTGAAGAAACACAAATAGTAAGAATGGCGAGTAATTTATTCAATCACACATCAGAGCCATGCACAAAATTGAAGAAATTCTATGTCTGTGTGGCATAGGGCCAAGAAAAGTTGTCAGGTCTCTGAGATCAGCTGGCAAAACTAATAGGAAAAATAGGAGAGACCAGACTTGTGTTGAAAATGAAGGTTGCATCCTTGTGTGACAACTTGGGAAAGGGCCTAAAACATGAAAAGGGCAAGCAGATAAAGGGAACTGCTTTAAGCTTTGACCAAGAAGAAGGAATAAATTAAAATTTGAGAGAAGGAAAGTAAGACATCCTGGAGCATCCTACGAATGGACTTTAGGAATGATTAGAAACTTAGCCTTGATCTAGGGGTCATGAGAGGCCTTAAAATGGGTGTGTGTGTGTGTGTTTACAGAGATTGGAAACAAATGGCTGAAGAAAAGTCTAGAAAAGAAAGAAAAAAGTGAAGATTTTTAAATGTCTGTTAGGAAAAGAAAAAAAAAACTGAGCAATTTATTGATCACCTCTTCCTCATGCACTATTGAACAAAGAATCTTCCCTTATCCATCCTTTTTAATCCCGCTTCTAGCTTGAGGAGGAATGTTTACAGAGCTGTAAGAGAAAAGGAGAACATGGCATCTGTGAACCAGATTCACAGATTTACTCTGGAGACCCACAGGGTGACAAATATTGCAGCCAGATCCCTCACCTTCCTAAGGACCTATTATATGCCAGACACTTGGCTAGGTGTTTTACATATATCCCTATAACAATTTGCTAGAGTAGGTATTACTACTCCTCAATATAGCCCCATATATTATTAAAGTATCAGCTTCTGAGAACCAAGACCATGGGCCCAGAAGAGCATTGGATACAGAGTACCCAAAAAAGGTAACTTGGAAATTCTTTACTCTCCCAGATTATTGACTAGTCAAGTTCTTATCAAATCTTTTAAGGCACAAATGCAATCCTAGGAGGGAGGGCCTAAGAACACATTCCTGGCAGCAGTTTTTCCAAGAAATCTAGTAGTGCTTAGACCAATGCATGACCCCATCTTTATCTAGGGCTTAGATTCTTCTTCGGACCTCAAGGCAGCCCTGCCTGCTTAATAAGCAGAACGACAATCTCCTTTGTGGGTCTTCTAGACTAGGTGCAGGAAGGAATTCTTACCACCACAATCACCATCAAACATGCTTCATTCTAGATGAGTGTTCTTACTGTCTGGTCCCTGGACAAGCTGCTTTAGAATTCTCTGAGGGATGTGCTTAAAGATGTAGATACCTGAGCCCCAGTCCAGGTGAACAAAATCAGATTTTCTGAAGACGGGTCTAGAATCGACATCTTAGCAAGCTACCTGGGAATTTCTTAGGCACACCAAATCTACGTATCATTATTTTAATCGCACATCAATAGAGTTCATTAGTGCTGGACCAGCTTCCAAGGTCTGAAGCAAGAGAGAAAGTTCAGCAAAAATTTTTCACTTTGTCATTTGTCTTACAGCTAGAATTCTCCTATGCCTTGTTAATTCAGAACATCTCAGTTCCATCAAGTAGCCATTAGAGTATAAGCAGTAAAGCCATTAGAGATGTTACAAGTGAGTTGAGGGAATTAGGATGACATTAACAAGTAACTGAGTCTACTCTCAGATTTTGTCCTTGACTGTCACACCCAGGTCTGGTGTCTCTCCAGGTCAGAGATTTTCTTTGTTCACACTCAGAAACATTCTAGCAAGAGGAACTATTACCTCCAGAGGAGTTCACATAGGCAAAAAACACTGCCGCAAAGTCCTTTTTAATTAGTCAGACATTATTTATTGGCTACTAATATATATATTCATTTGAAAATTAAAAATGAATATGACAATTTGATAATTAATTTCCCCAATATTAGTGGTCATAGGTAGATAATTTGGCTTCAATATTACACCATTAAAACCCTTCTCTGAATTCTCCCTACCTTTGTCTTCAACTCTAACAGTTCTCTTTTGCAGAATACCTACCTTCCTGAGGGATTCCTTGTTTCTCCAGTTATGTAAAAACAAAAATAAATTCTCCCTAAAAGAGTTACGATATTGTTTAGTGTAGAGAGCATGAGCTTTGGAGTCAAACATATTTTCAAGTCAAGCTCTGTTGCATACCAGCATAATTATGTTAACCTCTTTGCACCTGTTTCCCTGCTTGTAAAGTGGAATTATTATCCCACTTCATAGAGTTATTATATGATTAAATGAGAAAACATATCAAAAGAATTTAACACTATGATGTGGAAACTATTTGGTAATTGCATAAATTACATTGGGACAAATAACTGAAAGGAAGCACAAAAGTTTTAGTATAGGCAGTGGTGTGCTGGTAAATGTTTAACAACTGTTTTTCCTAACAATCCTCCCCACCACCACCACCAAAAGAAAGTCCTGATTTGTAGCGTTTGCCAGTTTCCGTGGTGTAAGTATTCACCATAGCTGATTTGAAGCTGCCAAGAAGACATCACTGAATGCAGGGTTGGAAGAGATTCATTGTACCTTGTATACTACATACATTGCATAGTACTGTGTTGGGAAAATATAGGAAAAATGGTCAGAGCCCCTCAGATGTTCAGAATCTTGCCAAGCATTTGATGTAAACAGGCATATGTGCTCAGGTGTTCCTTGGTTATTGTCCAGTGTAATTGCGCATGTGCACCCAGGTGTCCTGGGTTATGACTTAAGTATAAGGATGAGTGGCTCTGATCCACACTGCCTCCCATCCCCGGGATGCCCCCCCCCGTGGGGGTGGGGGGAACGGGGAGGTCACTACTGCTGCTGGAGGCTGTTGCTGCTAGTGCCCTCAGGACCCTCTGCAAGGACACTGCCACTGCCGGACCTGTAAGCTACTGGACCTCTAAGCTGCTGCCACTAAGGAAGCTGAGGACTGAGCTCATGTTATCTGCCAACAGCTCCCGGGATCTTTCCCAATTACCTAGCATGGACCTGTGTGTGAGGGGTCTGGGGACCCAGTCTGTACAATGGGTTTGGAGGGTCTGAGCCCTAGCTCTGACAATATAAATGGAAACTTAGTATAACTAAAATAATGAAACATTTTGGCTTTAGTTATGATTTGCCTTACTTTACATACTGTAAGCCATTGTATAGTATTTTCACCATATAGATACACTAGGTATTACTTTAAGAGCATGGGTAATAGTAAAATACAGTAAAATAATTAGGAAGTGATGAGTTTTGAGTTTTTATTGCCTTTGTTTCATATAATTTATTTCATTATAAGTTTTCTGGGAAAAGGGAGTAGCGTATGCAAACCCCAAGGTGAGAAAGCCCTCATGTGTTGGTGTTTGTAGAACAGAGAAGATGCCACTGGGTGGGACATAGTGAGCCACTGGGAAAGCTGTGACAGTGACACTGGCTGAAGAGGGAAAGAAGCCAGATAATGAGAGGTCTTGGCAGCCTTTTTCAAAGCAAATGTGAACTCCAAGGAGAGTTTTAAGCTTGAATATAAAATAATCACATTTACATTTTTAAAAGATCCCTGTAGTTGCTGTGAAAAAAATAGACTGAAGAGGGCCGGATGGAAACCAATAGATAGTTGAGACACTATTGCACTAATCCAAGTGGTTAGTGGTTCGGATTAGGAAAGTGGCAGTGGAGATGAACAGAAGTGGATGAATAGGCTTTGTGATTTCTTTCTGTGTAGTAAAATAGGACCATCTATTAAGTGATAACTCGGTTCAAGAAAATGAAACAACACACACAGCATTGCTCCTTCTGGGAGATCAGACAAGACGGCATGTATTTTGCCTGGTGGATGACATGATTCAGTTGAATTGCTTCTGTTAAGTGCCTTGTGTCTAATATAACATATGGCTACTGTGGCCTTCGAGAAGCCTTAATTCTCAGAAAGTCA